GGCTCGTCCAGCAGGTGGAGATCGACACCGGCTTCCTGGAGCGGCTCAACGTTCTGGACTACAGCCTCCTGCTGGCCCACCAGCCGCTGCACCACGACGAGCGGAACCAGAACCTGTCCTTCGCCTCGCTCATCGTCAGAACCAAGAAGTCCGTCCGCTCTGCTGGTTCCACTCCCAGGAGCTAAATAATTACCTAAGCATTTATCTGGCTAACCTGCTAAGTAGTTAGCCAGCTAAATATGTAGTTTGCTAACTAGCTAAATAGTTAGCTAAACATTTAGCTGGCTAATTTGCTGAATAGTAAGGAAGCTAAGTATTGAGACTGCTAAGCTAAATACACTGCTCAAAAAATAAAGGGAACACTCAAATAACATCCTAGATCTGAATGAATGGAATATTCTCATTGAATACTTTGTTCTGTACAAAGTTGAATGTGCTGAGAACAAAATCACACAAAAATCATCAATGGAAATCAAATTTATTAACCAATGGAGGCCTGGATTTGGAGCCACACACAACATTAAAGTGAAATGTTCCCTTTATTTTTTTGAGCAGTATATTTAACTAGCTACATTTTTAGCTTGTTGTGTTTGTCAGATCTATAGATGCAGCTCTAGGGTTATTGTTCTCGCTGCTCTATGGGAAAATGTGAATCACCATGGCAACCAGTTCAATCAGCTCCTCCTTGATTCGCCGCCTCCATAATTTCTATAAATCAGATTATCTGATCAGATTAGATTAGGGAGCAGAGACTCCATCTCAATTAGCCTCCGTCTCCATGGTAATGGCTAACGGGTTGGGTTCTAGCCCAGTTCGGTGATCTTGACCCTGTGGGAGTGAAACGGACCCTGGACGTTTTCTGGTCCGTTTCCTCAGAACTTTAAATGGAATAATTATTGACCCGGTTCTAATCTCAGGCCCGGTTCTGTCCAGAGTCCTGTACAGTCCGCCTCACTTCCTGTCTGGTACCGTTCCAGGTCCGTGAACCCCGGGTCCAGCCCGATCCACGCCGGAGTCCCAGGAGCGGTTCTGGACGACGACGCCGGACCGTCACCGGAACCGGACTCGGGTTTAACGTCGCCGCGGGACCGAGACGACTCGACCCGGACGAGTCCGCGGCCCGCCGGAACCGGCGCCGACTCGCCCGACATCCCGGACTTCAGGGCCCAGAACCGGCGGCTGCTTCCGAACCTGAAGAACCCGCTGCACGTCATCGACGGGCCGGAGCAGCGCTACTTCATCGGCATCATCGACGTTTTCACCGTCTACGGCCTGAAGAAGCGGCTGGAGCATCTGTGGAAGAGCCTGAGGCATCATGGCCGCTCCTTCTCCACCGTCAGCCCGCAGGAGTACAGCGGCCGGCTGCGGGGGTGGGTCCGGGACCACAGCCAGTAGACCGGAACCACTGGGCCGGAACCACACGACTGGACCGGAACCACTGGGCCGGAACCAC